AATTTGATATATTTTTCTTCAAGTTTTGATTTGGAATAGAATGTGTAGTGTTCCCAATGCATTTGTGTGTATGGAAATAAAAGCTATTAGAAGGATTTTGAGCTTTATTCACTTTTTTCAACACACTGCTATTATTTTGAACACAACTGTACATTTTTTTACATCCCCCTGTTTTATTTGAAAAAATTGTTTTCAGTCATAATTCTAAAATGAATAATAAGAATGAGCCATAATTAAATGTAGACAGTGGACACTGCATTGACATTTGTACATTGGTGGTCAAAAAGGTCACACCCCCTTGACATTAGTGGTCACTTGAAAAACACTCATTTAAACTGGTTGTTATTTCAAAACTGCCCACATTGGTGGTTAATGTGTTGCTACCTTACATTGATAGTCTGTGGGAGAGGTGCCTCATTATGTTAGGGGCCAATGGGAAAGATCCTCCTTACATTGGTGGTCAGTTAGGGCTCTTACAGATGCAAAACATTGGTGTCATTGGTTATTCACTAGAGAAATGAGAGGAGAGACTTCACTGGTTATGTGACACTGGATCTGCCAAGTAACAGTGTTGAACCTATGAAGGCAGCGTCAGGTATCAAATCAGTCTTCCACTGCTCAAAGAACCTAAGCAACTTCTGAGCTCACCCTGTTTGAGAACTGCTGCTTGATAGGCACACCTCCATGAATGAGCAGCTCTGCATAATTGTGATGGTTTCTCCTCAAACCAAGTGTATGTACATGTACCTCTCAGCAATTCTATTATTGCATTTGCAGTTGTTTATGGAAGAAACAGTCTGTGGCCCTGGGGAAAAAAGTTATTACTTTATGAATTGTGAAAGTCATAGTAATATTACCTGTGCAATACCATCATTATCAGAATATCGGCCTACATTTCTCTGTTCCAACAATTCTGTTTTTATGTTTAGGTAGCAATCAAAGCTGTTTCTATGGTTTCTTTGCATTCTTGATAAGCACTCAGTATTCTAGGTCTTTTCATTCCTATTCTTATCTTAAAATTTCAAGCAGTTCCGTCTTCCTATAACTATTTCATTGGAAATATTTTGGATGCTATCAAACAGGCTTGCTATAAAAAGCCTCATAAGACCTGAAAACGTCTAGAGTCAGATGAAAAGAGAGCAAATGCTGAGAGTTGATATTTCCTTCCTTGGCACAGTCATTGTATTGTAGCTTTGTTATGCTGCATTCATGATTCCTTTGTCACATTCAGCGCTCTATAAAATGCAGGATATTGACTTGCTCCCAAGCATAGGAAAATCAGCAATCTATATGGCGTGATAAGCAGCTTTGTTACAGCTGTAATTTTTAGCCAGTTGTAACACCCTGAATGTAGCAGATGCTATTGTGCTTGGCAATTGCAAAAGCATATCTCTGTCCTTCACATCTTCTCCAGATGACATTTTTATGGCACAATATTGTCCAATGGCAATGGATCTTGCAGAGTAATTTAGATCATTTTACTCACTGTAAATCCACAAATTGTAAGCCATTCCAAAGAAACTGACATCTAGAAATGTTGGTGCAAATGGAATAACTCCCTTTGTTCCAATCAATTTAAAGTCAAACAAATGTTTGAATCCAGTGTGTTGAGTCCTCAGTTGCTGCAGAGGCATGATGGGTTATTTAAGGATAGCGTCATAGTAATACTATAGTTATCATTGCATCCTTATTATAAATCGTATGAACAGTGTATAAATGGTTTATACTGTTCCTCAGGTTATATGACACTTTATTGATGTAATCCTAGGATTCAATTAGAAACAGATCATGAACTGTTCTTTTCCTTGAAAGTAGTCAGTCATTACGGAACAGTAGCAACTGCCCCCTATGGGCTAGGGACTCACAGCCTCTCTTAAAGTTAGTTTATCTTGTTGCAAATACATGTAGAGATATTTCCTCTCCCCTGTAGGACTGCTCTCAGCTCCACAGCCTGCAGACACTACCAGCCCTTCTGGCTGCTCTGAAGGTCTCCCAGAACAAGGATAAAGGATTAAGCACAGCGCTGTTCTTTGAGAGCTTGCTACATGTGGCGGTCTTTCCCCTTGTGAATCCCTGGGTGTGCTGATGTACTCAAGCTGTCCTCCTTACTCCCAGTTCTTGATCCTGTTCACACTGTGATGCTGAATGGATCCTCATGAGCCAGCCCGAGCCTGTCCTGGAGGCCCGCCCCCCAAGACCTAGGGGACCCCTCCCAGGCCACCGACAGCCTCCTCAGCTTTCTATCTTCCAGCCAACTCCCTTGCAAGCCTGACTCTCCCATATTTATGGGTTGGTCTCACAACTCTACCGGGGCCTCCAAACCTGGGATTGGTTAGACTCCCATAAACATGCAGATTAGGTCTCCACCACTTCCACCCACTTTCTTCCGGAAGGTTCCATGACCCTCCAGAACCAGGTGGAGGCGATAAGAGTCCCAACCTGTTAAGACATCCAGCCTGACTTACAGTAACCCAACCTAATTACAGACTCACACAGTTACCATGAATCATACACAATACATGAACCTACACTACTCTAGTAGCACGCTAGAGGATTATTATTATTATTATTATTATAATACAGTATTTATATAGCACCAAAAAGTTTGCTCAGTGCTGTACATTAGAGTGGGAGACAGTACATGAGATAATACAGTAACATTACAATGGACGAGGGGTTCGAGGGCCCTGCTCCTACAATCTAGGAGGGAGGGGATAGTGGTACAGGAGGAAATGGCTGTGGGGGATGGAGTGGTGGGAGGAGTGGAGGAGATCAGCAGTTAGGTGAGGGCGGGGTAGGCTTCCCTGAAGAGATGGGTTTTCAGGGTGCACCTAAAGGTGAGGAGGGTAGGTGACAGTCTGATAGGTTGGGGTAGTGAGTTCCAGAGGATGGGGGAAGCCCTGGAGAAGTCCTGGAGTCGGGCATGGGAGGAGGAGACCAGGGAGCTAGAGAGTAGGAGGTCTTGTGAGGAGCGAAGAGTACGTGTTGGGTGGTATTTGGATATCAGGTCGGTGAGGTAGTTTGGGGCAGTATTATGAATAGCTTTGTACGTCAGTGATAGTAATTTGAATTTTATGTGTTGGGCAATTGGAAGCCAGTGAAGGGAATGACAGAGGGGGTGGTGGATACGGAGTGGTTGGTAAGGTGGATGAGTCTGGCCGCGGAGTTCAGATAGCCTGTGATGAGGTAAGCCGGTGAAGAGGGAGTTACAGTAATCAAGTTGTGAGATAACAAGGGAGTGAATGAGTTGCTTTGTAGTTTCTGGGGTTAGGAACGAGTGTTTTTTGGAGATGTTGCGGAGGTGGAGCCTGCATGAATTTGCCAGGGATTGTACATGGGGCTAGAAGGACAGATTGGAGTCTAGAGTGACACCTAGAACTTTGGCTTACGGGGTGGGACTGATGGTGGTGTTGTTGGTCATGATGGAGAGGGTAAGGGGGGTGGACGCGGGTTGGGGGGAAAACTAGGAGCTCTGTTTTGGAAAGGTTTAATTTGAGGAAATGGAACGACATTCCAATCATCCAATCTGATATGTTGTTCAGTAGGCAGGTGATTCGGGCAGAGACTGAAGGGATGAGGCTAGGGGTAAAGGGTAGATTTGTGTGTCATCGGCGTAGAGGTGGTAGTTGAAGCCGTGGGAGTGTATCAGCTGGCCAAGGGAGGAGGTGTAGATGGAGAAGAGGAGGGGCCCGAGGACAGAGCCTTGAGCGACCCCAACAGAGAGGGGGAGAGAGGGGGGAGGTGGCAGCATTATAGGTAACACTGAAGGAGCGCTGGGATAGATAGGAGGAGAGCCAGGAGAGAGCGGAGTCTCTGAGGCCAAGAGAGTATAGTTTTTTAAGGAGGAGGGGGTGGTCAACTGTGTCGAAGGCCACGGAGAGGTCGAGGAATAGGAGCACTGAGTAGTGGCCATTAGCTTTGGCGGTTAGCAGGTCGTTGGTGAGTTTGAGTAGGGTGGTTTCAGTGAAGTGTAGGGGAGGGAATCCAGACTGTAGGGGATCAAGGAGGTTGTTGTCATTGAGGTGGGAGCTTAGGTGATTATAGACTAAGTGCTCGAGGAGTTTGGATGTAAATGGCAGCAGGGAGATGGGTCTAAGGTTGTTTAGGTTGGTGGGGTCCAGGGAGGGTTTTTTAAGTATGGGAGTGATGTGCGCGTGCTTTAGAGGGGAGGGGAATGCACCAGTAGAGAGGGAGAGATTGAAGATGTGAGTGAGGGAGCGTAGGATGGAGGAGGAGGGTGACCGTAGGAGTTGTGTGGGGACAAGGTCAAGGGGGCAGGTGGTGAGGCGGCTTCGGAGAAGACCTTAGTGACCTCTTCAGTGGTAGCAAGCTCGAAGGAGTGGAGTGTTGGGGGGTTTTAGTGTGCGGGATGGTAGGTGGGGTGGGGGTCTGGGCAGTTGCGAGGTCAAAGGAGGGGAGTGTTGAGGGGGTTATCATGGGAGAGGGGCTAGGTGGGGTGGGAGTCTGAGCAGTGGCAATGTCCCTACGAATTGTGTCGATCTTGTTTTGGAAGTGGTTAGCAATCTCATGGGCGGTGAGTGAGGTACTGGGTGGAGGTGGGGGGGGGGGAGAGTAGGGAGTTAAAAGTAAAGAAGAGCCGGCGAGGACTGGAAGAGAGTGTATTGATGAGGGTTACAAAGTAGGCTTGTTTGGCAGCGTGGAGGGAGGAGGTGTAGGTGAGGAAGGCAGATTTGTGTAGGGTGAACGCTAGTTGGGATCTGGTTTTGCGCCATGATCGCTCCAGCGCACGACTGCATCGTTTAAGATTCTTGGTGTGGATGCTACAGCTAAACTTCTCTTTTAACTATAACTACGATTATTACTCCTATATGCTTTAAAAAAACAAGTTCCAAACTTTTAAATGTGTGTTCAGTACATTTTTTTTACAATTAGAAAAATATTATTAATACAGAATGTTTCCATATAAAAATGTCATGGAATGTACACACTGTATTAATTATTATGCGTATTAATTGCCTTTTGTTTTCTTTACTGACCAGAGTGCAAAGATGTGAACAAAGTGGCTTACTGCCCGTTGGTGCTGAAGTTCAAATTTTGTAGCCGAGCGTACTTCAGACAGATGTGTTGTAAAACGTGCCAAGGACACTGACCCACCCCACAGCATGGCAAACAGAACAATGTTATATCTGTGGATGGCTCACTACCCAGACAGACAGAGAGAGGAGGGACATGTTCTTGAAGCATCCTTGAATCCTGTGTAAAACATAACCACTTCGTCAGCCCAAACTGACAGGATCCCCATTTTATTTAACTTCTGTGAAGTGAATTTATTATCCAAAGTACTGGACACACCAGCAAGGAGAAGAGGCAGATTGTGGAACGCTAGCAGCACACTACTAAAGCGCAGCAGACTTTAGAACAGCTGTGCTGTCACAACTACAGCAATCACCAAGCTTACCTCCTTGTACGATTTTTCTTATGGACTTGCAAAATGACACTGAATCGATTTGTATTTAAAACTTTTTTTTTTTTTTTCAAATGCTGATATGACTTGGTTTAAAAAAAAAATAGAGAAATTCTTCATACCTTAAAAATTATAAATATTTTATCTCAGTTTTACAGCACCAGAAGTTTAACTTATAAAAATGGGCTTTGAAATGTTATTTAAAAAGCAATTATAAATCAAAACTAAAGTAAGTGTATTTTGTTATTCTGCCTAAATTCTTCAGCATTTTTTTTCTGTAATACTGCTGTGAAGCAAATAACATATATAAAAGGTATACAATTGTCGGTATTCAGAGCTGCATCAGTGACACATGCATACAGTTGCAGGTCTACTTCTTCAGTCAAAGTTAGCATCAATACAACTTCCAATATCATGACTGTCCTTCGATAAAAAAAAAGAAAAACAGATCGCCTGCAATCCGCCATTTTACTAATGTGAAAAAAAGAGCAGTTGTCATTGGTGCTATTTTTCTTATTAGTTAATATAAATATATTTAAAACAGGTTTTTAAAGATTACAAGATGTTGTATATTTCCGTGTTCTTTTAACGTCTGTCCCACTACATAGTTTAATGAGATTGTTTTTTAACAGTTTTTTCAATACAGTTCATATGTTGGCCCTTCCAATGTCCTCTGCCAGATGCTGAATCATTCATTTATAAAACTATTCTCACGTTTACAAAAGTGTTTAAAGCCCACCTGAACTTTCCATTTAAACCAGCAAAATACATCCCAATTGCATCAAAGTACACGATGGTAAAGCAAGGTTTTATCATTCATTTTCTTTAGAAAGCAGCCACAGCCTTTGTAGAAAAACCTGTCTCTTACCAGCATGCTGTAGAGAAGGACCATCATGACTGGGTGAAAGCAGTTGACTGCAGAGATCTGACACACCTTCTGCTGAGACAGAGCTGGAGCTCACCAGGCAGCAAAGATAATACGTCCTGCTGATTGAGGAGCCCTGACACAGCAGGTGACTTGGAACTCTGCAGAGAGACCACTGATTCAACACAGACAGTAAGGGCCTTTCTATACAGCAGGCTGGCAGGTGACAGCCTTCTCCTGTCAGGCTGTGGCTGCTTTCTAAAGAATACAACTTTAAGACTATGCACGCTTTTATGTCTTGATTCACCTGGAATGCATTTAGCTGATGTAATGTGAAAGTTAAATTGGGCTTTTAAGAAATGCAAAATGTGATACACAACCACCTATTTTTTAATTATGTGTATAGTAGTGCATCTAGATATAACTTTTTAGGATGATGTTCAGCAAACTTTGCCCATTAGAACTTTTCCTTGATTCCGCTACAGTGAACAAAATATGACACAACAACACCTCACTTTCTACCATATATACTGTTCAGTCATATTTCTAAAGCAGGCTGTAGAAGACCAGATTCATTAGAACAAAATCCAAAATTGTCTTAGAAATATTGGAGAGGATATTTACTAGAATACGCCATAGTACGTTATGATAGCAAACTTGCTGCAAAGAAAATGTATGTTTGTCTTAACGCACTTTATTTCATTTGTGCTCCGTGTGGATCAGTTTGAGGTAGTTATAGTTTTGTTTTTTTTTCTGGTGCACCTGTTGCAATCTGATTTTTGCACCTGTCTTGCACAATATTTAGTTATGTAGTTAATGTTAAAATGTATATAAAATGTTCTTAGATTTTTGTACTGCAATCTCTATCCCAAACCAAGCTTTCCAAAGCCACATCTTGAATATGTCTTAAACAAACATTTTACATTATAATTCATGCTGCATGCAGCAGGACATGAAGGCACCATTGCAGAGGCTGCTTTTGATAAGCAGCAAATATTTTAAAAAAATACATTGTTTCTTTTATACTTTAAAATTATTATAAAATGAAATGTCTTTCCTAAAGCAGAGCTCCAGTCAAACCTAAAAAAAAAAGCAAAAGTCAGCTACAAAAACTGTAGCCGCTGACTTTTAACTAGCAGCCGTTCACCTGTCCCACAATCCAGCGGTATCCTTACCACAGCTGGTTTCACCAACCGTCCAGGCATTCTAAGTGTGGGAATTGTCACGTGTCCCAGAAGACTGTGCGGAGGGAGGGAGGACAACTTCCGCTTCCGATTGCCTAGGCAGTCGCAGTGGAAGTTGGTGCTAATTCCTCACAGAGAGCAGGGGACCAGTACTTAAAGCAGAACTTCCCCTTTTGGGTGCAGCTCCGCATTAACATTGTGTTTTCACTAAGACTCCATGAACACTGGCTTAAAAAAATGCTGCTCCTATGGCGTTTTGCCGGTAGAAGTAACTAATGTTATCCTAGGTGTCCATGTACATTAGGTAGTCTAGAGGCATTTTTTAAGATCAGCGTATAGAAGCATGAAGAAAAAACCTGTTTTGTGTTTTTGAGAGCATTTTTCTGGCAGAAAAAAAAACTACACACTCCTAAACGTTCCTAAACACTAATACGGAAATCACCGAAAAATTTGCTTTTGTTTTCCTGCCGGAGCATTAGCGATTTTTTTTTAAGCCAGTGTGCATGGAGCCTTAAGAGTACCATGTTAAATGTCAGTAATTGATTCCTTTTAAAAAACATATTATGTATTGAGGATGAGATAATTATTTCAAGGAGGCAATTATGTATTTTATCTTCCACTTTGTTAGTTTATGCTAGTTATTTTACACAAGAAGTCACACAGGGATGTTTGGAGAGAGAACAGAGCACGTACACTGGGGGCCTGTTTCTAAAGAACCAAAATTCTATTTTTTTTCTTTTAATCAGACATAGGAGTTGATTTACTAAAACTGGAGAGTGCAAACTCTGGTGCAGCTATTCATGACAGCCAATCGGCTTCTAACTTCAACTTGTTCAATTAAGGTGATTGTAAAGGCAAATTTTTAAAAAAATTTAAAAATAACAAACATGTCTATACTTACCTGCTCTGTGCTGTGGTTTTGCACAGAGCAGCTCTGATCCTCCTCTTCTCAGATTCCTCATCGAGCACCCAGTCACAGCAAGTGAGAAGAGAGCAGGGAGTGGAGCCGATCAGAGCTCAGGAGCCACCATGCATGCAGGCTCCCGAGCTCCACTCTGTCAATAAGACACGCAGAGCATGGCTCGGCCTTGACCCCTGCTCACTCCTCACTGGCTGTGATTGACAGCAGGGGGAGCCAATAGCTCCTGGATGGATCGCTGGATTGAGATCGGGCTCGGGTAAGTATTTTGATGGGCGGGAGTGGGGGGGGGGAGTTGGGTAGTGCTGCATGCAATAGGTTTTTCATCTTCATGCATAGAATGCATGAAGTTAAAAAGCTTACTGGCTTTACAACCACTTTAAGTTTTGAAAACAAAAACTGGAAGTTGACAGGTTTCTATTCAGAGCTTCACCAGATTTTACACTCTCCAGTCAACCCATAGTTTGGTTGATTTAGTAAAGGGACAAAGAGTGTTTATGTAGCTTATCGTGAGTTCACTTTGAAGAGTGAATGTTTACTTAAGCTGGCCATAAATGGATGGAAATTCGGTCTGTTCAGCAGTGATCAGCTGAATTTCAATCCATGTGTGGCCACGCCTGTTCGACAGAAGTTGATCATTAAGATGACATTTTGTCTCAGTCCGCCCTCATTTAGCTGCTGATCAGTGTATTCTGACAGTGAAGAGTTCAATGTTCTAGCAGGGGGGATTCCTCTATCCACCTCACTTGTGTGCATGGAAGAATCCATTCATATTTTTTCGTTCAGTCCGCTGGCATCTATGGCCAGCTTTGGCTTAGTAAATTAGGTGAAGCTGTCTTCACGACAGTCATCCATTTTTTAGTTTCTGTTGCACACAATTGGTGAACACTTCCCCGTATTTACAATGTTAAGTGAACATTCACTTTGCCAACTAAAAAATCTCTTTTCATCCTCTGTGCTTTCAACAAATTTTGTCTTTTGCTCTGAGCAATGTATCAACTTATTTTTACATGTTTTAGTTAAAGTAGAAATGACCTAGCAATTTCTTTGTTGCAACATTCTGAAATGTCTTTTGCCCATATTGTTGCCAGTAAATTATACCAGATCCATCATTTTTAATGGAAGGAAGCCAGAGAGACTTTTGTTACTGCTGTTTTTTTCTTTTTGATGTTTTCTTTAATTGTTGATTTCACAGTTTGGCTATTAGCTTTTAGTGAAAAGTAGGGTAAATTGCAGCCCAATAAAAAATAATTATTTCATTGATCTTTAAAAATAGACCCCTTAGTTTATTTATTTTTTGTTTTACATTATATCCTTAGGCACATACTACATATATGATCGGCTAACTTTTTTTTGTTACAAGCAGAAGATCTCTCTCTTGTTTAAAGCTATCATGCTGCAATAGAGGAGGTTGGGGACTAACTGGCACTGCTCCCTTTTTCTATGTGTTTTGCAAGTGTGATGTTAAGCCCTGCCTATTTTAAAAAAACCCAACCTATTTATGTTTAATGTCATGGCAGTGCTATGAGGTAGGGATCTGCAAAATATGCGTTATTCAAATTGAAACAGAGTTGACAGAACAAAATAAACAGAAAACGCAAAATAGAAACAAATGCTAATATGAAGTGAGACATTTCACAGAATATCAACAGCATCCATCATGTTCAGTTTCCTA